TGAGATTGAGGAGGGGCACTGTCAGATTACACATGTGTGAAGCCAGTTAAAGTTTGCATGGAATTGGTCACCGTGGCTGTGGCTAGAATGAGAAGTGAGGCTGAGAGGATTTGCAATGATGTACAAGAAGCATCCAATACAGACACATACCATGTTCATAGACAGAAAGACTTAATATTGTAAATATGTCAATTCTTTCCACACTCAATTCCGATCAAAATCTGAAACTTTCTTTATGGACTTTTTAAGCCCATTCTAAAATTATATGGAAAACCAAAGGGTCAACAATAGACTAGACATTTCTAAAGAAGAATAACATATGGGTTACTTGCCTCACCAGTTATCCAGATTTATAAAGCTAACATTATAATGTGGTATACAAACAATTGACCAATGGAAGGAAAACCAGTTGCCAGAAATATATCATACATATGGAAACTCGATATTGATGGGTATCAGATATTCTGTAGACTACTGGAGGGAAAGGTGAGTAAAGTATGTTTGGGTAATTAGTTGTCTCCATGAGAAAAAAAAAAAAAGAAAGAAAGAAATTGGACTTCTACCTCAGACCATTTATAAAAATCAATTCTCACTGTATTAAAATTTGAAATGCAAAAGGCTAATTTCCAAATCTTTTAGCAGAAAATAAAGGGGAATATTGTTAGTATCTTAGGATAGAGAAGAGTTTCTTAAAACAATTAATTGATAAAATCAACTAAATTAATGTTAAGAATGGCTGTTAATCAAAATATAACACAAATAAACTGAAAAAAAATGACACAAATGTTTTCAGAGAATTTAACATGTTAAAGCCATATCAATGTTATACAGCCTTGAATGGAATTAGAGCCAGATAGTAATCCAAAGGCAGTAAAGTAACAATTCACTACCCAAGAGCAGAACAAGCTGTGTCCTCAGTGTTTTTCAACACAGGCACTCTTGGCATTTGGGGTAGGACCACTCCTTGGTGTGTAAGACTATGCCATGTGTTGCTGGAGGTTTATCATACTGACTTTCACCTCCTAAATGCTAGGAGCAACTATCAGTTATCATGACAACAAAAATGTCTCAATACATTTTAAGTATTCCCAGGAATTGGGCAGTGCCTCCACTGGTTGAAAATCAATTTGATTCTACCTAGAAAATACATTTAAAAAAAAACAGAATAAGAGAGAGAACTGAGCCACAGTTGAGGGCTAAGCTTCCAAGTCATGGAGAAAATCAGATGTTTTTGCAAAGAGTGAAGGAGTTAACTGTCTGAAGGCCTGTCTGAAGCTTCAGGAAGAAACCTCGGGGGAGGCCCAGTAAGGAAAGCTTATTTTCTTTTCTGGTGCATTGGAGGGCAACCTGGAGATCTCTATCCAGACAAAAGGATAAGAAACAGATTTTGAGGGAACTGAATCTTCCATTGGATGATTTCCCCAGACAAAAACCAAGAAAACTTCCAAAACCATCTAAGAAAGACCATACAGTTTTAAAAGAACTAGGTTTCTTGACTTATATACTGGGCCATCAAGGAAGGGATTGCTGAGGGGGAAAAATGTTCCATTTCATGGCCAATCAGGGCAGAAAGAAATACAGGAGGAAATAATAAAGTGCCAACTCCCGAAGATGAAATCATGGCAAATCCCTTGGGGCTTGAGAAAAATGAAAAGGGCATATAAAATTACAAAGCAGCCAAATGTCTGTCCCAGATAATGGACACAGGTGTATCCCTTAACATGCCCAGACTCTATCCTACTTATCTAAGATTTATAGATTAACTTGTGTAATTATTATTTGTTGCGCAATAATATTGGGTTCGTGTAAACTCAGTTTTCAAAGTCTGTAACTCATGTAGGATGATTATATATTCACTTAATAATAAAGGAAACATGGACTAAAAGCATTTAGCTATAAAGATTAAATTTACAGGAACATTGGAGAGAGCTTTTGCTTACAAAAAGGGCCTATACAGTAAACAAAAAATAAAATTAATGAAATAATATATATTTATCATGTATAATATAATAAATCATGTTATAATAATATAATAAATTATATATTATAGGTTATGATAATGTGAAAATGAAAAATAATATATAGTACATATAGTAAACATAAAAAGATGAAAAGGATTTGCGTAAGCTAATAGCATTGGTATTCAGCTATACTGCTTTTTAAACTACTAATGATTATCCATGGTTATAAGAGTAAAGGTCATCATCAGTCTTCTACATCACATAACTGGATTTTTCAGAGACCCATTCACCTGCATAAAGCCATGTCCATTCATTCATGCATTTATTCACTCAATAAACACCAGCCCTGTCCCTACCATTGGCCAAGCACTAGAGAAGTAGTTAGGAATCTCTGCCCTATAAAAGATTATAGCTTATTAGGGAAGATAGAGAAACAAAACAAACACTAGAGTTACAGAAGATAAATTTTTTCATAGGGAACACTGAACAGCTAAATAATGTATGTATTATGGGAGTCACGGGGACAGAACAGAAAGCAGTTTAAAAGATCTTCCTAAGGTGACACTGATTTGAATTTTGAAAGATATATGGTAGTTAAATAGGAGGAAGCATTTGAGAAAACAGAATAGCATATGCAAAGGGCCAAAGGTGTAAAACAGTATAAACCTCAGTAACAGGATAGGGCTGAAGCACTGGATCAGTGTGGGAATGGGGCAAGTTTAGAGTGTCAGGCACTGGTCCCAACAAGAACTTTGATAAGCCTAGGCCTCCAATTTAGAACTGTTAATGGAAGGCATAGGGATCCACTAAAGGAATTTAAACAAGAAGCTGAAATGCTCTGATTTACATTTTGAAAGATCTTTCTGTTGGGGGGATGGAGGGTGGCCTGACTCAGGACAGGGATAACAGTCAGGGTTTTGCAGTGATCCAGGTGAGACACAATGAGAGCTTAAAAGCAGGCAGAGGCAGAGGATTTGAGAGGAAGAGGACTTATAAAAAAGGTATTGAGGGGCTTCCCTGGTGGCGCAGTGGTTGAGAGTCCGCCTGCCAATGCAGGGGACACGGGTTCGTGCCCCCGTCCGGGAGGATCCCACATGCCGCGGAGTGGCTGGGCCCATGAGCCATGGCCACTGAGCCTGCGCATCCGGAGCCTGTGCTCCGCAACAGGAGAGGCCACAACAGTGAGAGGCCCGCGTACTGCAAAAAAAAAAAGGGTATTGAGGAGGCAGACTTCACAGAATTGGTGGCTGATAGGATTGGTGAAGATGGAAGAGAGGTAGGTGTCACCAGATTCTGGCTTGAGTATCATTTGCCTTACAGTTGGAGAACTTTAGAAATGAGAGTAGGCAATAGAGAAGAGAGTGAGTTCAGCTGGGGATATGTTGACTTTGTGGAATCCAGGAGACACCCAAATAAGAAGAAACATTTCATAGGCAATTAAATATATGGTATGTACACTCAGAAATAAGGTCTGGGTTTAAGAGTCAGACGTGTTTGCCTTCACAAGTAGCAGCTGATGCTAAGTTGGAGAATAGGGAAAATAGAGAGTGAGAAGAGCCAAGCACAGCATCATGGAGATAACATTTCAAGGACCAAGAGAGGAAGAGCAACTACAAGAGACTTAACAAGAGCGTCCAGAGAAGAACAAAAGCAACAAAGAGCCATGTCATAGAGGCCAAGGACAAAAGAAGAATGGTCACAACAAGAGGATAAAGAAGATTACAAAATTGTTCATAAGTCGTTCATTGCGCTTATGAATCAGGAGGCCATTGGCCATGCTAGGGGCAGCAGTTTAGGTGGAGTGAGGGGTTACAATGTTGAGAAGTGGGGGAGAAAGAGTGAGGAGGAGAGGAAATGGAGATTCTGATGAACATAGCTCTTCCAGAAACTTAGCTATGGAGTCAAGAAGAGACAGTGGCTTGAGGGGCTCAAGAGATTGAAGGAGGGTTCTTGGCCCTATATGTCTGCACACAGTTCACAAATGCACAAGTACAGCACGTGGATACACAAAGAAATGTGCCTTCTTTATTTTGTGATTATTCCACCCAACAGGGTAGAATGGAATACATTTAATTATTATAAATGTTCTCATTCTCTTACAGCTTAAATGGCCTCTCCTGATGAGTTCATCTCTTTCAGGTAAATGCCCTGTTCTTCCCCAAGAACACCTGCATTAATGACACCATTGGGGGGTTAATATGTGCAAGGCGCCTGTTCAAGAATTTTACAAAAATTATTTAAACTGTCATAACTACCCTATTTTTACTTCAGTAATGAGGAAAATGAGTAAGTTGACCAAGGTCAGGCAGCTAATAAGTGTTGAAACCACGATTCAAGCTTATGCAACCCAACTTCAGGGCCTGTGCTCGCAGCCACACTTAGCTAACACCATGAAGTTGTCTGGGCACGTGGAGGATTGAGAGAAATGAGTCCTAGGATCCTTACGGCCTCTGCTCATCCAATGATTGGATCTGCTCCCTGCACTGGTGAATGCTGTGGTGCAATGGGTCCCCTCTGATCCTCAAGCTGGTAAGCACTACTAGGTTCTAATGATGGCCTATGGACACCCAAATCTCCACACACTGTGGTCCATTCCTCCTCTGCTTAGGCTCTCTCAGCACCTCTTTGTCCCTTTCCACAGCATCTAAGGACATCTGGAAGTCCCATGTGTCCCCTATAGGCCTGGGAACTAGTGGCTCTGCCTTAGGCACATCCTCCTTCAATCACTGGGTGCTATTTCCTTTACATCATGTTGAACACTGCAGCTAGCTGCACCCTCCCCCATAATGCCTGTCATCATTGCCCTACATCTTCCTCTCATTTTGCTGCTTCAGGCCTCAGGTCTAAAGAGAAACATTTCTCATTTCTCTCTGTCTCCGATTCTGAGTTCCAGCTACACTTTCCATATAATAATCAGCCAAATTTGTATGTTAATGAGAGTTAAAGAAATTTAGAAAAGGCATATCCTTCTCACCAAAAATTATTGCCTCATTGCATACTCAAGAAATTCAGCCTATGACTAAAGCTGATCAGTCCTACCTTTGTTCCAGGCAGAATTGTCACCGTCCTCTCATTCTGTGGGGCGACGGGCCTCATGGGCCAGCTGTACAGGTAGGAGGCTGGAAGAGAACGTGACATTAAAGGGGAAATTAAAGTGCATTGGTTTAATATCTTTAAAATATTATCAACAGATATGTGCCTAAAAACCTCCTTTAGGATTATAAACAAGTCTAAGTAAGTAAAGTCTTCCTATTCCCCTCTCCCTAACACTGTTCTTCCTTTTAGTCTGGGAATTTAATACTGTATTTGGTCACAGATTTGCCTTCTATAATTTTATTATAGCCCTTTTTAATTTTTGCAGCCAGAGTGGGAGAGACTCAAGCTTGTCAACATTTTGCATCTTGAGAAAAAAGATCATTGTAACAAGGTACTTTTATTTAGGACCAGAACTGACTTGGGTGTCTAATGAGTCATACACAAATGAGAAATTTAATACTACATATGCAAATATTTTCATTACATAAATAAGACATATTTTCCTTACAGGAGTTCAGCTTACAGATTTAGAGTGTAATAAAAGAACTACTGGTATTATTTACATCAGCAACACAGATACTCTAGCTTTAAAAGGTGGCATTGATACTTATAAGCCCGACTTCTCTATCTGCTTTAATGAATGCGTTCATGAATTATATGTATCTGCGTGCAGTAAGCCATCAACCAACACATCTTATTGCTGGTTCTTTTAATGTAAGTTGGAAAATCATCTACAAGCTCATACAAATTAACAAGTGAAGCAATAAGACTGTAATAGATGAGCATATAAGAAACATGATCAAACATTTCATACAAGAGAAAAAAACAACTAATAAACATATAGGGAAAGAACTTTTTCATACTGAAGAAGAGCAGACAAGAAGATAAATGATGTATGATTAGTGATCATTCAATTAAGAAAAACTTAAAATGATAACACTCAATTATTATAAAGTTGAATGAAAGTAGGACCCTCATATGTTTATAACCACATAACAGCTTTAGAAAACAATTTGGAAATACTCTCTGAGACTATACTATAGTCACACACTTGTGCCAAGTAATCCTAATCCTGGGAATTTATCTTAATGAAGTGATCCAAAATAAGAAAAACAATTTGGGTTCTACAATAATAATTTGGAGTTGGCAAACTTTTTCTGCAAAGGTCCAGATAATAAATATTTTAGGCCTTTGTGGGCCATAGGGTTTCTGTCTTAACTACTCAACTCTGCCTTTACAGTGAAAAAGCAGCCATAGATGATATGTAAATGAGTATGTTTGGCTGTGTTCCAATGAAACTTTATTTACAAAAATAAGTAGTGGACAGGATTTGGCTTTTGGCCCAAACCCAGCTTCACAATGTTATTAATGGCAAATGAGTGGAAAAATCTAACAAATCTTAACAATTAGAACACAGTTGCATAAAATATGATAATCCACTTAATGGTTGATTAGGTAGCCATTAAGATAACAACAATTATAAAAATTGTAGCAGCATGGGAAATGTTAAGAAGCAGGATCCAAAATTATATACACAGCAAGAATATAAACATATAAAATTCTATCCATACAAGGACAAAGGCTAAAAGGGAATACATAGAAATTGCAAATAATTGTTTGCTATGATGGATGAGATTCGAAGCTTATTATTTTCAACATCAGTATTAAAAATTTGCTTGAGAGGTAACACAATCTTTAAACACTCGGAGCGACACTGTATTGCTGTCATCACAAGGCATCTGCCCTTTCATTAGAAAAAGTGCCGGGAAAACAAGGCAGAGGCTTTAGGCGCTTCAGTAGATCTAGGGTGATCATGTGTAGTTTCATAACCACAGACAAATTCCTAACTCTGGTCCATCATCTTGCAAATTGGCTACAATGGCCGCAAACGATCAGATGAAAAATTTGCATGGCTTAAACAAATCCCTTTGCACTACTGGGACCAACTCAAAGGGCCTATCAAGCTAATGGTCAATTAACAGCATGTCATCATAGAGGATGGTGGCCCATATATTTTAGATCTCATTCTTGTTGCAGCATGCCAGAGCCTTCCTTAAACAAAATCCCATATTTATCACCAATTGAGCATAGCTTGAAGCCATGGTCATAAAATCTTTATACTGCTGTATACTACTTAATACTGCTTACTATGTTTATGCTATCTCCTTTGGTCTACAGAACTCACTGTAAAAGAATATTGGAAAATTTTAATATAATTCTTGATTTCTATGGGCACATTAAAAACATACATAACCACTCTATAGTCTGATAGTTAAGAGCAACGGTCTGGATCCAGACGGCCTGGATTTAAATTGCTGTTTCTTAACTTACTATATATATGAATGTAGGCAACTTGATTAACTTCCCTATGCCTCAGTTTCCTCATCTGTAAAATAGATACAGTAGCAGAACCTACCTCCTAGGATTGATTAAATAAATTACTGATGCAAATCGCTTAGAATATAGTTTAGCATACTCAGCAATACTGAGGATGCAGTGTTTCTGAATACTTAATAATTGTCTATTATTGTCTTGAAAAACTGTATTCCACTAATATTTTATTTCAAATCACTATTGTTCATGGAATTTTGTCTCACCACTCTATTCATATTATTTTCTCCTCAGGCAGCACATAAAAACGTATGTCAATTTCCTAAACAGACAATGGTTCAATACCACATCTCACAAATCTATAGCACTGTAAAAAGTGCAATGGAAAAAAATCAGATTTACTCCGGTAATAGTCTTAATTTCACTGTTCCTCCACAAACACTGCTTACTATCTAAAAGCAATACTGACAGTCACTTTCCCCCGCCCCCAGGCTCCAAGAAACACTGCTAATAAGGTGACAAAAGTTATCTTAGACTTTCAGTGGGAGCTACGTGGGAGATGAGGTGGGTCCTCTCCAGGACGGTTCTAGGAAGCAGGTGGAAAGTTTGTCCTGGGGTTTGTGCTGTCAGACAAAAGCAAGGATCCGACTAAGCAACACAGTGAATATTGTATTTTTTATTATAAGTCATAATCAGCATTTATAGGATTTTCAATAGTTGCTGTCAACACCCTGCATTTACTATCCAAGTGTTGCCAGTTGAGCAAGTTTGTAAGGTATAAATCATATTCTGAAAACAGCATCGAAGAGTTGAAAAGTAAATAATATATATAAGTGGGTAATAGCATGCTTTATTTGCTGCCATTTGTAATAATAAATATATTTATACTTTCCTAATTATACTAACATCACCATTTTTACACTTGCCAATATGCCTTTTGTAGTGTAGCACAAAGTTGCTTTTCCAACTTTGCCCATGAGTCTTCTGCAGATTTTTCTGCTCACCTGTTAAGTTTAGCCAGACTTCACGAGCCTCCTAACAAAGTTGATGACCAGATTATAGTTTAGAAGTAGTTATAATCTCAACTAGAAGGTCAGTAAAACAAAATTTTATAGAAAATATTTCCAAATACAGTCTAAGATGCAGAAATGGTTAAAAAAAGATTTTGGAATGTTTGTTAACCAAAACACCTTGTGGCTTACATAGCAATGTATTCATTGTATGTCTTATTATGCAAGACATGTTCCAAAGAAACATATTCAAGATGCAAATTCCTGAGCCCCACCCCGGCAGATTCTGATTCAGCAAACCCAGAATGGGGCCCAGTAATCTGCATTCTTCCCAGGTATCCTGCTGTCTTTTATTGAGTGTATCTCAGACCACATATTGATAAAGACTGTGATAGACAATCACAGTGTTTCCACACCTCCACCATCACAGAATATTGAGAGTATGAATTTATGTAGTAGTTCGTATACCTTTGTTGACAAACAAAATGATCCTGAATTAGGTTCTAAATGAGGCTTTGCTGCTTAATGTGTGATCACCAGGCCAAGATACTTGGATGCTCTCATACTTTATCGTCATAGTTCGTTGGTTACTTCCCCAGCACCTCTTACCCAAGACAGCAACCTGAATTTCCCAGCAATGCAGCTGGTGTGGGATTTGATCCTTCCTTTAGCTCCAGTTGGAAGTTGGCTGCCTTAAGCCATTCAGCAAATCTGATCCCATTAATCACAGAGATTAATTCAAAAGGAGTGACACATGACCCAAGTCAGGCCAGTCAGGGCCAGGAAAACTCACTTCAGGGATTTTATTTGAAATATCAGGAAGAGAGACTCTGTTTCCTGGTGGAAGTGCCAGGAAGCATGTGGCTAGGAGCTGCTAGCCCCTGATTTGGGCCCCAAGCTGGGAAAACAGGACTGAGAAATAGAGCCAGGAACCTGAGCCTAATCTTGGGATCTGAGCCCTGGATAAAGTCTCTCTGTCACTTTGAACATTCAGTTCTGTGAGCCCCCAGATTCCATTTTTCACTTAAGGTTGTTTGAATCAGTTTTGTGTTACATGCAACCCAAAGCATCCTAACCGATGTACCTGTGAAATGAGAACATTTTGCTAGATGTCTCCCTTTCAAAAATACCTATGATCTTTAAAATTCTTTAAAGTTGAAGATTAGACTGATTAAATTACCCAGTAATATCCAGACAATGCTCTGCACACAAATTGAATAGAGACCTTATCTTCTGTTAACTTGTAAACTGACTGGGAAATTTTCAACTGGCTACTCTTTGGCAAATATTTTGGAAGTAGCTCTTAATTGGGCCAAGTACTAAAAATATGTGAAATGGGGTATAATTTATTATTCTATGTCCTACTGGACACACTAAGTGCCACCAATAATTGAATTCTTATGTTGATCTTAACCAAAGGGAGAGTATGATCTAGACAATGGGTAGGCTGGGTAAGATGAGAAGAGGAAGAACTTTAGCAGAGATTAGTCTACTGAACCAGGTGTCACAATGGATCTTAAGGTATTAAAGATGGTCGTTTTACAGAAAGGAAATGAGTTATTAGCAATGTATCAAAGAGTTCTTCCAAGAAATGTAAAATTATATTTTTCCCAATTCCAAAATACATTTCAGTTCAATTCAACCAAATTCATTGCCATCTCAGATATAAATTTAGAAATTTTCCTATATTCTAAATCTTCAGATCGTGTTCCACATAATACAGGTTTCCCATAATGTTTTGG